AGAGACGGGGACCAAATAATATTCATGGAAATATATGTTCTAATGCGCATACAACTACATGACAAATATCATAGACCTAATATATGTGGTTCCCCTTTAACTGATCCTATCATAAAATTTAACATGTAAACTGTTCAAAAGTTTTGAAGTCAATTGACAATGACTGAGGGACAGGGCCAAATAATCCCAATGAACATGAGATGTGCCAATTAATGCTTATACAACAGCAAATCAAGTATCATTGATTTACTATAAGTGGTTCCCCTTAAAATATCCGATTCACAAACTTTAAAAAAAATGTTGACGCCGACACCACCACCGGTAATACCATACTAAAGTCTCGTTTGTGTTAGTCTAAATAATTATAACGTCGTCACAGTATTTATTTAAAATAGCCTTTCAATACCGCCATAATCATGATAATTGTTTTGACTAGTATTGTGAAATTAATTGTATGAATTTCAAGACTATACATATTAGTTACAAAAAAAAGTCACTGTTGGTTTTGTCCTGTGCTGTCGTTAATGGAAGATATTCTTTGTGTACTTCGGTTAACGTTAATTTTGTGATGACTATTATGTTGTTTGTTTCTGCGTTTCTCTGTGATAGGTGTTCTTGCGTTTGTTTGTGTTGTATTCATGTCACGTAGTGTTGTCGTTTAAGCGATATTTTTTAGCATTGCCATATATTTATTATACTTTATATTGCGTATCCAGTGCTTCACCTTAGGGAGCTTCCATTTAATTTTTATGGGGGGGGGGGGGGTGGGCCGGGGGGGGGGGGGGCTAGGATGAAATTTGAAAAAAAATAGGCAGGACAGGAGTTTTGAGTAAAAAAAAAAGGCATAAAAAATCAAATGGTAGCTCCCTTACTATTTTTAGAAAATGAAATAAACTCGTGTTCAAACGTTAATTTCAAACTTATAAGCAACTATGTCCTGTAACAAGTCAGGAAATATGGCAGTTGTTCGTTTTTATGTTTGTTGGCGTTTGTTTTTGTTGCAGCTCAGTGTTTATGTTGTGTCGTCGTTATCCTCTTAAAGTTGATGTGTTTCCCTCGGTGGTTTTAGTTTGTAAGCCGGATTTGTATTCTCTCAATCGATTTATGACTTTTGAACAGCAGTATAATACTGTTGCCTGTATATTTAACTTCGTTAAGGCAAGACAATAAACCTGTAAACACCTAAATCCTATTGTCCTTAGTTGCTGTATATCATAACTGTTTTGGTTTTTTATACATAGACTAGGTTGTTCGTTTTCTTGTTTCAGTTTTATAATAATTGTAATTTCCAGACATTTTATAGCCGACAATACGCTATGGATTTCGGTCATTGTCGAAGTCCACAGGGACCTTTATACGTAGTTGCTAACTCCTATGTCATTAGGCTTCTGGTGGAGAGTTTTCTCACTGGCATTCATATTACATCTTCTTATTTGCATATAAAATAATTCTGTTCTTTATCATTGTTTGTCTTCTTTTGGAATAAATAACATATTTGTAAAAGGAAAAAGTCAAATAACAAAAATTCAGATCAATTGTATTGACGTGTCTCGGTATTTATACATCCAACATTCATATATCTAGTTATGACGTTTCTTTTGTAAGTACGGCAGGATATTGTGTAAAGTCTTAGCGTTTGTGGTTTGTATTGTATTTTCGGTACATTTCACATACGTCTTACCGTAGTTGTCAGTATAGTCTAGTTAATTCTATTTTCAATGGATAAAGTATTGTGTTGGTCCAAATAATTATGACGTCGTCACAGCATTAATTTAAAATAGCCTTTAAAGGCCGTCATAATCATGATAATTATTTGGACTAGTCCTGTGAAAATAATTGTGGATCCCTTTCCATATAATAGTATGAATTTCAAGATTATATATATGTCACAAACATAAGCCATATTTTTGGCGTTGATCCATTCATGTGACGAGCAGTTTGGGATGTCCTGTGCTGTAGTTAATGGGAGATGTCCGTTGTTATTCTGTAGATAACATGTTGTAATGTATTATTATATTATTTATTTATGCATTCTGTGTTGCGTGTTCTTGCGTTTATTTGTACTATATTCCTGTCACATAGTGTTGTCATTTAAGAGATATTTTTTACCATTGACATATAAGCGGGAGATTTGGCTAGCCATAAAACCAGGTTCAACCCACCATTTTGTCTTAAAATGTTCTGTACCCAGTCAGGAATATGGCAGTTGTTATCGAATAGCCCGTTTCTATGTATGTTGGCGTTTGTTTTTCTTGCAGTTCAGTGTTTCTGTTGATCCGTTGTTTTCCTCTTATAATTGATGTGTTTCCCTAGGGTTTAGTTTGTAACCCGTATATGTTTTCTCTTAATCGGTTTATGACTTTTGAACAGCGGTAAACTACTGTTGGCTTTATTGACCAGGAAATAAAAAATCGATCGAAAAAAAAATATAGCAAATTGTTAAAAATGCACAGAAAATAACAGGAATTAAGCAAGACTCCGTGGTAAAAAATAAAGGAATAAACAAATAACTGTTCACGGAGTACAAGAGATGGAGCCGCACAAGGTCCACCTCCACTTGTGATTATCAACATCAATACATTTAATCCACTATTGCCGCGGGTAAAATCCACCCATTATCCAGTTATTAATTTGAATGATACATTTTGCTAGAAAATATCAGGTTTATAAAAGAATGAACTAAAACTTCAATTTTAGCTCCATCAGGCATGTTGAGTTATTCTATTTAGTACTTTTTGTTAATATGCAGGGAAAAGATTTACAGTTTTGGTCTTTCAAACTGTTTAATATCTGATAAGATTTGTTCAAGAAACATATGTATGAAAGTCCATTTATGTCAAAATCTCGACAATTTAACGCGATTAATACAATTTTAACGTGTTAAAAGTAGGGTTAATGCGTAAAAAGTTAAGATAAATCTTTAGAATTTAACTCATTAAACGTGATTTATTAAGACATATAAGGCAAGTGCGAGGGGCATTTTATCACTATCAATGCCTTTTTCCACTTACGGATTATTTTTCAAACTTAACCAATGCAAAGTTTAATGCTTTAAATGTATCAATTTCTTAACGTGTTAAAACGGCGTCAGATGTGTTTTGACCGCGTTTAATGTTAATGCCTTATTTTGCGGATTTTTGACATGAATGACCTTTCATACAAATGTCATGCATCTAAAACATTACCATTTGTTTTTGCTACCAATAGAACGATATGACTACCGGGGAATGATCAGTTCCGAAACACCAATGAATTGAAATGATATATTAGCCTAATTTGACTATGGCACCAACGTTATAACGACATTACCACAACGATACAACTTCCTGGATATGTCGTTTTTGCTGATTAAATTTATAATTCAAAACACAAACAATATAATTTATCTGACTTATTTCATTCTTTCTTCATGTCTTACCCTTAATACGTAGACCATATCATTTGATATATTGCTCTCTCAATTTTGATCAGGACAAAAAATTGTTTCTAACTGACATTCACCATCAATGATATAACAATTAATTTAAAGAACAAAATATCTCTTATGAGTTTGTTTGGTTCATCTATGGGTCTTATGAGTTGTTTACCTTAATTTTCTTATTAAAACTTGATATCCCCCTCTGAGTATCATATTCCCCTCTGAACATCGGGACTACCTCTGGAGACATTACGTGCGGTTATAGTATAGTCATTATCGTTTTCAAAAAGTTTTCGGAGGTAAAGCAATTAAAAAATAAAATTGAAAGTGTCATAGACTAAATGATTACTTTTGATCGGTATTGCTTATCAATGTTTACATCGTGTTTAGTAATAAAAACAAGCGGATATGAATCGTTGTATGTATATCTCACTCAGACACAGGAAATAAAGGTATATCGGACATGTCAACCAATTCGTCATGATGGCCGTTAAACAATATAAAACTTATTTTGTATTGGTTTCACTCCTTCGGCCTCATAACACTGTAGCAAGTTTTGTCAGGAGCACGTATAATACGTTTTTATCCAATTAATCTTACCAATGTCTAACAACAGGTATTCTAGAACAAATAATGGCTCATTTTTATGAAAATGCATTTATTTAACGTTCAAAGTTGGTTAAAGTGAGCTTACAATTTTTTTCTTCTTTTGTCCACTGAATAGATCTTCTTTCAGGGCCACCAGAAAGTTCCTTTATAGATTGATCCATAGACCGTGGCATTTGCCGAAATTCAGGTACATTGATATCAAATTTGAATTGATTAATCACTACATTTACCATATCTTCAAGAGAGTAATGGTTGCACACTATTAATATTCAGCAAATATTGACTTTCAAATAATATATTTTCATTATTGTAAAAATACTCTTGAAAATAGTCACAGCAAAGACGATAACAAAGAAACAGTAACAATCTCTACGAAATACATATAACATGGACACATAGAAATCTACTAAGCACAACAAAGAACTAATGATTGCAACATGAACCTCGCTAAAACGGGACGAACTTATGTGCTCCAGAAGCATTGTAGCAGTTCCTTCTCTTTTTGTTGGCGTGTAGCTCTTGGTTAATGCTAACTTATACATATATGTGCAAATGTATTTAAGTGTACAAATAAAGGAAGCAACTACGTAAATGAATTTAAAAAAAAACACACGTCTATCTAGTACATCCTGCTGTTGGGTAAATGTGAATAGACAGCTATGAGCAATTGAAAAAATGTTGTAGTTTAAAAAACAATCGGCTTAAACGCATGATACAATCTAAGGGGGCACAAATCACTTTGTAGTTCAAAAATTAAAATGCCATACGCCCATAAACTGGAATTTCCTCAGTATGTTTTCCTCCATGAATGTCAAACGAAAGTGAACTGAAGGTAACGTTGTTTTAATAAGAAATAGAAGTCTATAAAAAGAATCATTCTTGTCAAATTAAACGTCACGGTGAAAGGCATAGTTGTATGCGGTACTCACGACTTGTACGTTGCATTTTGTTTATCCTTAAAATAAGATTACTCTCAATAGTGTGGCTCACCTCTAAACTGAGCACCAGTTGATTTGTCGAAAGTAATTTGTTGAATCTGTTTATAAACTGCTTCGGGAGTATGTACATCTAAAACATTATATTACAAAAATATACTGCAAAAGATATCTTTAAATACAAATTTCTGTACAAAGGAGAATGGCCGATAATGGCTTATTTTGGCATAAAATTTAAAGTGTATCTGATGACAGATTTTTGACAAAGATTGTTAACACTTTAGTGTCTTCTTCGATCGTTTAAATACAAATTTCTGTACAAAGGAGAATGTCCGATAATGGCTTATTTTGGCATAAAATTTAAAGTGTATCTGATGACAGATTTTTGACAAAGATTGTTAACACTTTAGTGTCTTCTTCGATCGTTTCAATTAGTTTATGTAAAAGATTTGAACCGATTTGGTCATTAAAGACGCATAGATTCAAGCTTAAATATGGAAATCTATCAAATGTGCCACAATACGTCACTTTTCAGATGTTTTTTTTCTAAAAATGGAAGTGGCCGCATTCGTGTTCAGTCTCAACCTTTATATATGCACAAACATATAATATGAAACAGGTTTGAAATAGTGAACATAGGTACTTACTCTTGTAATAAACACCAATGTGTTCGGCTATGTCTTTTCTGTTGCTTTTTGCAAAATGACTCGCAAGTTGCATTTTTGCTTTAAGCTGAAGATTTGACACAATTTTACACCATGAGGCAATCATACAAAAATTTCGTCTGGTCGGTTGTTTTGTATACATATCTTCTAACGTTTCCATCATGCAATGTTTATATCCAAGTGTAATTCCGATAGGAAACCAATCTAATCCTATTTGAGTTGATATCTCCCATATCTCTAACAAATGTAAAGAAATAAAACATTATTGGGAATCACTTTTTAGATGACTAAAACTTGCTTTTCTCATTGGTCTATAGAAGGCATTCCAGTGGAAAAAAAGGCATCAAAAGCTCAGTTTTTTTAACGAAAATGGTATTGTCATGGTAAATAACTTCAGGATTTTCGTCAGAAGTTGCCGTATATCAACTCTTTTTTTTTGTTCAAAATTATTCACAACTTTTGTTAAGCTGGATACGACAGAGAGTTTGACATCTTATTTTATCTATAAATGAGATACATGCATTAATTCGAAATTAACAGATTATTTAATGATATATTTAACAATTTATGACATTACATAACTCGATGAGAACGAACTATAAAAATTAGTTGAAAAAGACTTAACTCATCAGATGGATACAAATAGAAATATATCTTAGTCTTATCACTTTAGATGTAGAGAGTTGTGATAAAACTAATATTAGACGGGATTTAACAGACCTAGACCTCGTTTCATGGATCAAAGCTGAATTTCAGTATACATGTGCGTATCTCTTATGCTATGGACAATAGTATGCTTGGTATATGGAACGGTTGTAAGGTGTAAATGTGTTTTTTCCAGGTTTAATCTGACCTTGACTTCCTTATCATGGTTTTCTGGACAATGTAAATTTTTTATGGTTAGGTCCATTTCTCAGACACTATTAGCAAAACAATTTGCAGTTTTTATGGTAAATTCGTCAATTTCAAGATTTCATTGTAAGATCTGTTTCTCTAGTAATAAAAGTAGAAGGTCGACTATATTTGGTGTATCGAATAAATTCAAGGTGTACATGTCTGTCTAACAGGGTTCATCTGACCTTGACCGCATTAATATGGTTCATTGTTTAATGTTAACTGTACATGGTGATGGGTGTGTCCGAAATATTCTATGCATCAAATTAACTCAATTTGATGTAAAAAAAAAAGACTGTATGGTGAACATGTCTGTCTGGTGGGGACGTTAAATCCGAGGTCCCGTGTTCAGGTAGTACCACGCTCTTTGCACGTTAAAGATCCTTCTCAACAAGCTCGTTTTGAGTGGGTCATAAATGAACGGTTGTTTGGCAAAATTATTTCATACTAGTTTTTAGCTTTGATATGTTTTTCTGTGGTTTATAATTTAACTATTTGGTAATTTGGTTTTCATGGTCTAACTTTTGTCTAAAATCTGTTAGTGTTCGTACTTTGATGAGTTGAGCCTTTTTTCAATTAATGTTTTATAACGTGTCCTTTGATGTCGTATTGTTACACAACTGTCTCAGGTTAGGGTGCAGGTTGGCGCCAGATAAAACGTTCAAACCCGCTGCATTTGTTTGCAACTGTCCTAAGTCAGGAACCTGATGTTCAGTGGTTGTCGTTTTCTATGTGGTTCATAAGTGTTTCAAGTTTCTCGGTTTTATATAGATTAGACCGTTGGTTTTCCTGTTTGAATGGTTTCACACTAGTCATTTTTGGGGCCCTTTATGACTTGCTGTTCGGTGTGAGCCAAGGCTCCGTGTTGAAGGCCGTACTTTGACCTATAATGGTTTACTTTTACAAATTGTGACTTGGATGGGAGTTGTCTAATTGGCACTCATACCACATCTTCTTATATCTATTGATCTAGTTTCATGGTTCATTGGTAAAGTTAAGTTTCCTTGATTTGATCCGTTTCTCAGATACTGTAAGCAATATGTTAACTTCATTTGTTAAAAAGAATGATTATATGGGGAATGTGTCCGACTGACATCTGACCGTGACTTCATTTACATGGAATCTCGATCATGCCAATTGTTTAAGACTTTCAACATAAATACAAATATGATTTGTCAAGAACTGCCTATTGGGAAATCAAAATCAAATGAAGTGTGATAAATTAAAAGTCCTAGTTTATTTGGATATGCTTTGTTTTATCAATGTATCTGTGGTACTTACCTCCGTTATTGGTAATCCTAAACACTTAATTGTTTTATTTAAATAAATTAACTTACTGTACGGACTTTATGTTGTGCTTAACAATTTGGAGAAACTTTTTATTTTTTCCACAGTCGATGGAGTTTGTTTGAGATAACCAGTTTATAGTAAAATTAAATATCAGCAATTGAAGACGAGAGCATAACAGTTAGTCTAACACAGAGCATAAAACTTGTTATTTGTTTGGAACTTCAAGAAAAAAGTGGAGAACTCCTTGTTTTTGTTAAAGGTTTTAAAACTTGCACGTACAATTTCTATTTAATTCAATCAGAAATTTTTGTCGCTGACTTTAATTTATGAAAACATGTTAAGTGTATGTATGACTGTTTTAAATGAAAATCGGATTTGTTTGCCTTTGTAATCACTAGTGAATGTCACGCACACCTTTTTTCCTGATAAAAAATGCAGCTCGTACACAAGTTCAAATGTTCAATGATGTATTATCTAAAGTACGCTATCGGCAATATCCGGTGTTTGGAAATACACAATGATCAATAATTCCCAGAATTCAATTTGATATAGTGTAATATCGAATTAAACTTCACGATGCCAGCCAAGAAATCAAGCCATATTTCCCTCGTGAAAGATCGTCAATTTGCATTAGGACTTCTGATATACGCCAATGTCCAGCGTCATTGTCAGTTTCATTTATTTGCAGTTGTAGTAACAATTTTATATGTTCATTGGTTAAGTTTTCAAAATCATATGTATCCACAAGGTCGAATATTTCATTGTTTTTGTACAAGGTCGGAATTAAGGGCACCCGTGATTTTGATTTTGTCATTCAAACCAATGGCCAGCTCAATGGAATATATGAATGGTGTTAGGATAAGGAGGGAGATACACGATAGAAATGATTGATTTTTGGACAGTAAAACCCAGGTAGTTTAATTATTTGTTTACAAATTAAAAATTAATCACAACAGAGTTATTTATGTTTTAAGTAAATAATCAAGTCACCATAACTATTTGAACGATATTTCACTGGCTAAAAGTAGGATTCAGTTAATATCAAGATATCTAAAATTAAAAAAAAAAATCTTTAAAATACCGATATCAGTTTTGTTTTAAACACTTCATTGACATTAATATTGAAATGGATTTTATATTCAGTTACTATATGATACTGAATGTGGTAAATAATTCTTGTGATAGTGGACCTGGATATGTTTCTAAATTACTAAGGTTGCTTTGTGTTATTATCATTTATACTGCAACTAGTTGTGTTTATTTCCTAAATATAGTATATCAAGCTATATTTTGTTCACTGTCAATTTCATCATGGATCATTTTCCACAATCAGGGATTCATTTAGGGATTAAAATAAGTTCGAAATTTGCGTTAAAATCTAAATAGATAAATACATAAAGTTGCAGTATAAAAAAAATATTAGGTCAATGTCAGAAAAATGTAACTTAATGTATTCGGCACAAAACTGGAGAAGGGCTCGGTACAAACTCGCCCCTCACCAGTTTCTCATCCTCATACAAAAAGTTTATTCTGACATGGACATAATATTGTTTATATCTCTTAAGAAAAAGAATTATAATTACAATATCAATTACGTAATGGTCTCCTTATGGTGAGGATCTGCAAAGGGATATTATAAATTAAGTATCAAAAACAAGTATTATGAAACAAAAATGATTAGACAAATAAACGATCAAGAAAACCGAAGTTCTGTATGGATACAAATTAGTCAATATATATTCTAATCATTGTTGTCTTATCGCAAATAACGATAATGCATAACAGTTCGATAAAATATAAGATGTTAGACACAACCGACATACATGATGAGTGCAAATGAAAAATGTATATATATCATGACGAAAAAACAAATTGGGCAAAGCATGGTGTTGACTAAGAGAGCGTCATTAAACAAGCGTCACTGGGTAAAAGAAAATATGTCTTAATCTTCTAATCGATTGGCAACATTATTTTATTCCTCACAAAGAGGAGAGACTGGCCATAACTTGATGTTTCAAGAGTACCGTGACAGTAGCATTGCAGCGTATAAGGGCTACGACTGGTTTCAGCAGCTTTGTCATATATTTTGCCTTCAATTATCCAATCAACAATTAACATTGATACAATATCAATTAAGCCAGATTCGTTCTGACTGCTGTAAGAATAACCTATTCAAGGACATAAATCTAACAAAAAGTAAAATCACAAAAATACTGAACTCCAAGGAAAATTCAAAAAGGAAAGTCCCTAATCAAATGGCAAAATCAAAAGCTCAAACACATCAAACGAATGGATAACAACTGTCATATTCCTGACTTGGTACAGGCATTTTCTTATGTAGAAACTGGTGGATTGAACCTGGTTTATAGCTAGCTAAACTTCACACTTGTATGACAGTAGCCATATGGAAAAAGATAGATACCAGAATATGTTCAAATAAACTCCTTTCCTAGAATTTAACAAGAATTGATGGTCCAAGATGACATTCTTAATATATTGAAAGGTTGCTCTCTATCAGGGATTTAGTGAAAAATACAGAAGTTTCGCTATATTAATTTAGAATATACACATCAAATTATAGAAAAAATGATGAAACCGCATTTACTTCAAACAGAGATATCTGAGTGCATCAACACACATTCAAAATATCCTCATAGGGAGGGATAGGATAGAATGATTACATTCAGACTGGTATCATTAGATCTAAAACGACGAAAACATGTAGGTGTTAGGCATCACATGTCGAAGGTTTGTTACATTGCAATAAAAGATTTTAGCACTATGTCACGAAGCATGCTTTTGTGTCAAATTGGCAAAAAACAATAAGATGTTATTATGAATAAGTAACAGATATCTGTATAGAAGAGGGACAAAAGATACCAGAGGGACAGTCAAACTCATAGATCGAAAACAAACTGACAACGCCATGGCCAAAAATAAAAAGACAAACAGACAAATAATAGTACAGATGACACAACATAGAAAACTAAAGACTAAGCAACACGAACCCCACCAAAAACTGGGGGTGATCTCAGGTGCTCCGGAAGGGTAAGCAGATCCTTCTCCACATGTGGCACCCGTCGTGTTGCTTATGTTATTACAAATCCGGTAAATAGTCTAATTCGGTAGGTCACATTCTTGAAAAGGGAAGGGTATTGTAGTTACGACATAAGGAACATATCCGATATCATCTGTGAAACGGTTATTCCATAACGGTCATCCAACTCGTGATGGCGTGTGTAAAATTTACGAAGGGATGATTTCAACTTCACCATTTGGAACTCTTGGTTTAATAGCTCCCTTGTGAGCAGCAATCATCTATCAAGGAAATCATGATAGCTTGTATAATCTGAAGAAAGACTAGCAGATAAGACCGGTTTTCAATTTTTTCAATTTTTTCAATAGTACAAAAACATTTATATAAAGAAATACGAAATCGAATATACTGTTATTTTCTCTTAATCTGGTAAAACTTTATATTTAAACTTAAATTTACCGATTGACAAATCTTTACTGAGACATTATGCTTTTCTGGTACAAAATACAAAGACAGCAGTTCGACCATTCGTCAATTTTTATGCTTGGTTGACGATAATTTATTGACCTGCTATTCATGCGTTAATCATGTTAATGTAGCAATCGAAATTTAGGAGTATCAAATTGGAAGATATGTATATTTTTAGTATAATGAATGAAAATGCCCTTAACTGCTTTCTTATCTAGATTTATTTCAAGAGAAGTAACACCTATATAGATTAGCTATTTCGGAAGAAAAAGATGCTTAGACGGATGATTATTTAACAAATTGCTGATTAACTATCATATGCCTAGCTTAGCTTAGGAGCTTTGAATATTAAACCAGTTACTTGTAGCTAAACCTATAAATCAATGATCACAATAGTTTTCAAATTTTAATTTCAATCTTATTATAGCATTATGACTTACCTTTATCGGACAAAATCCCAGAATCTTCATCTTCTTCTAGTGCGTCATAATACTCAGAATCTAGACTGATAGCATCTACATCTGAAGTTACTTCTTCTCTGTCATCAATTGACATCATATTTGATGCCATTGTTCCACTTTGTTTGACTGATTAATAACAAAAAAAAAAGAATAGTCCTTGAATATGATAGAACAGAATAACAAATCGTCGAATTTAGAAGATTCAAATAACAAAAGTGTATATCTTCCCCGAAGTGTTTCACAATCAAATATAAATTACTAACTTATTATGATCCTTGTACTCAAATGATGGAAATAAGTCAAGTTAGAGGCAACAATAGTAAACCGATTTGTGTGTGTGTGTGTGTATTCATATCTTGTAAATACATATCACTTGGATTAGACTGTCATAAGTATTTTTAATAATTCAACATTTCAAAACAGTAAATTTAGTGCAGAGAACAAGTCAAGGAGTATTTCAAAGAAAACATCAAGCAAGACATGGATTTTTGCAATGCCAAAATATAAGTATCGACATTATGTAGAACCGTAGGTGTTAATGTCTGTTTAGCTAAACATAGGTGGTTTGCTTGCTAAACGAAAAATGCGTAGAGATTTATTCGACTGTATTTATTCTAATATAGTTGACAATTATTGTAAAACGTCAGAGAGAAATAAAACACGTAAGTATTATAATGACCAGAACTTGTACTGTGCAACTGATAGATGCAAGGAATGTTGGTTCCCTTAGATAGAGTTATCGAAAAATAGCCGAAAAAGTAAGAGAGAAATTACAATTTGAGCCAAGTGATGATAAAAAATTCCAAGACCGTGATGGTCAAATAATGAGAAGGATACAACAACTTTGCAATTATGTCTGTACGATTGTCCACACAGTCTAGGTTCTGAACATGGAATGCAGACGCATTTTCTAGAATAGGTGTGGATACTAACAAATTGTTTCATTAGTTTAAATCACTGTATAACAATTCAAAGATATGAGTTGTTGGATTACAAACCGTAGTGGCAAAAGTAATAAAATTAATGTTATTTATCAGCAGTGCAAAACTAATAGCTCTAAAATTTCAAAAATGGTAAGTGCTTATGATGAAGAACGGAGAACTTAAATCGGAGGATTTTCCAACTTGTAAAGCCCTGGCGTGAAATGCGCTAAACAGGACAAAAGGTCGCAGAAAGCCGGATATTGATTTGCCAGCATAGTCCATACATGAAATGCAAGTGAACTAGAATTTCATAGATATCAAATGGAAGATATCATATATTATATTGGCAAATACAGTTTTGCTTGCAAAAGTGAATGATCTGAAAATATCAGAAGAAATATCACAACAAAGAAGAAAATGTACATAAAGAAATTCATATATCAAAGAAAGTATTGTAAAGATTCCGGAATATTCTGATATATACTAGTCAACAAAAGAAACGATACAAGGCAATGTATTTTCAATATATAATGAAATTAGATACACTGTCCAATTGGTTCAATATTTACAGAATGTTATTTTTTTTTATCAAAACCATTGATTTAAGGCAAATACGCGAATTTTTTGTTTGCAATTTTTTTATTTCAAAAATCGTATTTTCACCCAAAAAATTTAAAAAATCGATATTAGAACTTAAAACACTTAACTTAAACAAGGTCTGCTTACAATTTTGAATGCCTTTGCAGATATTTGAATAATTAGTTCTCATCTACGAAATTAAGTGCCGACTTTTGTCATCATTTCTGCAAAACAAATTTGACCCCTGTGTTCAATAACACGGTATTTTCTCACTTTCCAATTTTTTCAGATTCTTATAATCATATGCATTTGCTTTGCAAATGAATGTCTTTCTTTGGATAATTTAACAGTTTTTCCTATCTATTATATTTTATGATAAATTGGAGTTCAAACTTGTGTATCGTTACTTTTGTTGACTAGTAAATTAGAAGAAGAACTTATTTGGGATCTTAATAGCAACAGAAGCTATTGCAACTTTCCCAATTGAAATGCAAATGTAAATACAAAAACATAAAACTAAAAGGCCATTCATGTACGTTCAATTAAAGAGAACTACAATTTAAACGAAAGTCGTGTACGAAGTAACGATGACTATTTTTGGATAACAGAAAAAGAGTTTTCAGAACTAAACTCATATCTTATAGATTAAAAATAAAATAAATCGACGGTACAATTTACATTTGCATTTTTACAATTTGCATTGCATATTTAGAGAATATGGAGAAAAAACAAATTAAATGTGCAGGATATCGTTAAAGAAGTTAGAAAATCCAGTTCTCATTTCCTCGAATATGACCTCGTATCAACTTCACAAATCAAACACGACAGTCTTGACGTATAGATTCTAGATACTGACGTTGTTTATCATCTTAATTAGGTGTTATAGTGTTCTTTTATTCTATATGTCTTTGTAAATTGTTGCTTTTACTGTTTAGTCTATTTTTGGTGGTGTCCATTTGACGTGGTTCGGTACTTATACATCCCGTCATTGTGTTATTGTGCCATGGTAATTTTTGTTTTTTTTTTTTTGTATTCTTGTGTTTCATTTTTGCGTATGTGCTTTGTGTATATGCTTTTATTTTTCTTTGTTGACATATTTGTTTGTTTTTATAGTGATTAGGATTGTAACACAATGTTGACTGCTGTTCCCCTATTTTTGACATTTTTACTTATTATGTCTTTGTGTTTTGTTCACACATTGTTGTCAATATAATGGAATTTTATGCGACTGTCATACAAGTGAGAGGTTTAGCCAGCTATAAAATCAGGTTCAATCCACCATTTTCTACATAAGGAAATACCTGTACCAAGTCAGGAATATGACAGTTGTTATCCATTCGTTTAACGTGTTTGAGCTTTTGATTTTGCCATTTGATTAGGGACTTTCCGTTTTGAATTTTCTCTGAATTTTGGTATTTTTGTTATTTTACTTTTTCCTGACATTAAACAAACTTAATGATACGAAAAAGCATGTATCGGTATTTTTTATAATTTTGTTTTAAACTACAGAGCATATAAGAGACAACATGATAGTGCCAAATGTGGAGCACAAGCTGCTTATCCTTTTGGATTACCTGAGTTCATCCCCGGTTTTTTGTGTGGTTCGTGTTGCTCAGTCTTTAGTTTTCTATATAATGTTTTGTATAGTGTTGTTTGTCCTTTTGGCCGTTTTTCGTTTTTTGCCATGACTTTTTCAGTACGTTTTCGACTTTGATTTTGAATGTCCCTTTGGAATATTCGCCTCTCTTTAATACAACATGTAATTAATGCTGTAAATTTAAATTCCAATAAAAAAGTATCTGACATATTTTTTACACTTAAATTTTAAACTGCGAAGAGAGGCGGCGAAAGATACAAAATGGACATGCAAACTTATAATTCGAAAATAAACTGACTGCGCCATGGCAAAAAAAAATGCAACCAACAGAATTCGGGATTTGTGGTGTTTTCATTTGTTGTACATTGTTCCATCCATTTAGAGCATGAATTATTTACTGACGGTTCCGTTTATTGATATTATTAAACTGTATGTTTAAGAGAGGACGGACAGATTACGTGGTCGTGTAGGTAGTTTTTTAGGTGAAAATTCTAGTCTTGATGACAGTTGAGGTAACATAGTGTATTAATAACAGTCAAACGGTTTGATTTAAATTGTGAGTATATTAAATTTCTGAACGAACATTCGGCTTATTTATGCGTTTATGTATTCTGTCTTACTAGCTGGTTATATGTCGGAGATAGGTTGCACATGTACTTAGCATGTTACAGTTGCAGAAAAATTAGTACCGTTTATGTTATCATTATAGAGCAAATGATTTTTAAAGCTCAAAATTAAACAAGAGAGCCAGAATAAAGAACCATCCCATTGTATGATTCATCGAACAAAAATATTTCTTGACAGGTGAAAGTGTGATTTACATATTTTTGTAATCTATGCAATCATGTACCTTTGAAAATTGTTATCATATCATTGCAATAGTTTGCATGTCTATTCATATTCATGTTTACGACTGTAGGTAGTCTCTTTATTTTTATTAAATGACGTCTAGTCCTAAAAACCCACGGTAATACTGGTACATATTTTATAAATCATTAAAGAATTTCAGCAGAATTTAAAAAGGGACAATTTTTGTGTTGATGGATTGATGTAGGTTAGAGCATGCAGTTAGTTTTCACAAAACTTTCATAACTTAAGAATGAATTCACAAAATTATGAATATAAAATATATAGCTTTCAAATCTTTGTTTTGTTGAGTTATGTTCTGAACAGGGCTTTGAAATTAAATACACGTAGACTCGGCGGGGGTTGGGGGAGCACTTTCTGTGTAATGAGTGGTAGGGATGAGACGCTGGAAAAGGTCACTATTTCATGCTCCATGATATATAAAAAGGGTCAGAAATTAGATTAAATATATCATTAGGTTGATTTTATCACTTTGTTGATTATATCATAGGTATATTAAACTAATCAGATGTCAATATTTATTTTTGATGCGGTTTAACCACAGTCGTAAATGCATCAGCTATTTTTAAAACCAGTTAATCTCTATTTATCTTCCAATGATGATAGTTATAGATGCTATGGATCCGGTTATTTTGAAATTTGTACCTAATTAACATTCAAAGGTTTGTATGCATTAAACATGATAACAATTATCAAAAGTTCCATAGTGTCAGCCTCCTTTAATAGGAAATGGCAATGTAACTTTTTATCAGTTTTTCATTTATATAAAACTGAAAGTGTTACTCTCTGGGGTGTTACTATCTGACCAAACATATTTTATAAGTATTGTCTATTGAAATTGATTTTTTTTTTTCATAATGAAAGACATGAAAGGGGTAAATAGAGAAAAGTGTTTAAGATGAGACGAATGTGACGAATTTATTGGAAAAACAAGGTGTGATGATTGTGATTGTGACTACTAAACACGAACGTGATAATGAGCAGGACCAAAAAAAAATCCGCTATAATAATGTACCAGAAGATAAAAAAATATCCAAGCGGATTTGGAGACGTTAAAACCACATAAAATTCCTAGCCGGTGCGATTTGTCTGGGTGCCGAACTGTCTATAATTCTTTTCGATAACACAACTAACATAGTGGTGACACTGATAGTTTTATA